TACTGTAAATCAAAAATAGCTATCCTATTATTTACTTTTTTCTACAGAATTGTTTCCCTTTCTTGAGAAGGTCAGAATATCAAATTTGCAAAATAATCGTTTCGCCCTTCAATTTTTTGTCATTGGTTTGCGTAACGCGCGAAACAAATTATATATTGTAAGTTTGATGCATTGTATGCCCACAACAACATTTTGTGACGCGCGCGGCGCGAATGTTAGGTTCGTTTGTTGCAATGTTGCATGCACTCCGCATATATTATATACGCATGGTTACTTCCGTCTCCAAGTTCCCAAATAAAATACTGAACAGTGAACCCCTCTTCTCTGATTTACAATATGGTGGGAACTTAAAAGGCACTAACGACCATAATAATTCAACATGCTGCCAAGTTTAGTATGAGCTTAAGAAGTCATGAGCGAAAGGCGGTTTGTGTTACCGGTCGTAAGCTCTGTTGAGACTTATGACCACAAATCTGAATGACAAAGTGCTAAGGCATGATGTCTTATGTCCCGAAGTCAATGGAGTTGAAGGGAGTTACAACTATTTAATGCGAATCGTTTCAACGATTTACCGACATTACTGTTACTTGTTAGGGTCTTTATTTTCACAGATATGGATTTACAGACACTCGTTCTCATTCTTACGTAAATTCACTCCAGGATCTTTAATTTGTAATACAATCGACGAGCGAGACGAGGTTCAGTGTCTGACTTCCGTTTATGCTGTTCAGTGTTCAGATAAAAACGTATCTATATTGATAATTATAACACCTGTCAGACCCATGCTATTTTTAGAAATTATTGAACAACTCAAAATCGGTTGAAGTATCGTGAAATATAGTTGGAGTTCATTCCCAATCGTTTTTCTGTGATTCACAACATGTCACTAGTCACTGTTTTACAGAACACTGAACAGTCACCCATTATCCCTGGTGCATTAAGACTACACTGCTTAGTAATGACATTAGACATCGATAAAATCTGCAAATGAGAAAAGCTGTCGGTAGAAATCTTAGTGGACACAAAGTAGTCATGGTAACTTTGCATTGATCTAAAAATAGGGCGAAGCTTTAATATGGTTGCCAATCACTTCCATTATTCCCAATAAGGTGATTCAGTCTCGCCCTCGACGTCTTTTTATACTTTTCGTGGTACGAATCACCCATTTGTTTACCTTTTTTCGATACGCCACATTTTTCGAAGTGGTTTTCTATCGAATTTATAAACAAGATGGTATGGTGCGGTGCAAAGTTTCACTTTACCCTTGTGCATGTAAGTAATCATTATAAATATCTGGAGCCTTCAATAAAATTTTATATCGAATGGGAAAGATTGACAACTTTAAATCAATTTAAATTTATGGGTTTGCACTGTCATTCCTATTTGATTTTGGATACCGTTCTCAGTTCTGCAGGAACATATTCTGTGCATAAAGATACTCCCGATCCCGTTTTAATAACGCATATTTAAAAATCCCGTGAGTTTAGTGGAAGAATTAGCCGCATAAAGGCGGGAATAAAATCTGCGCTTACCAGCTGCTGACACGTTTAGAGAGTTAGAGGACATTGTTTAGCGTATACAATGGGTGACAATTGCCAAATTTCCGCCTCATCTGTGTTTATTAACAAAGTAAATAGTTAGCTGTTTGTCCTACCCTCTGCTTGTTCTATCTTTTATCTGTTCCTTTCGTTCCCGCTGTTTTTAACGCCCTCTTCACTGTTGCTTATAGTTAAGTATCGTTAGTTCTTCATGCTACAACACTGTCTTATCGTGAACAAATAGTCTGTTCGCCTACATTCTTCCGTGCCTATTCTTTGTAATTTCCCTCCAGTATCCGTCATATTCAATCAGGGATATTGGTTCCATAACCGACAGATAATACTTATTATATAAACAAAAGCTCTAAGAAACAGATAGTAAACAAAGTAAACATTTCTGTCCCCTAATCTTTCTCAAACAAAAGTCATGCAATTTGCATACTTCTCCATTTAACTCTATTCTGAGCAATTAACGTTAAATAGTCCAAATCACATAAATTATTTAACGATAATTTTCGGACACTAAGGTCGTGTAGAATCAGTGAGAAAAGGTTTGACTGCGGTCTTCCACGCCGCCCTTGAAGCTGTAAGGTGTTGACAGCAAAAACAAGCGACGAATAGGCTGGGCCATCTGTAGGCCCACGCAGTACATGTCCGAGGATCCTCCACCGACTACGAGCCACTTTAGCTGACAATGGTTCGCTATTGCAGCGTTTATACAAGTTCTTGTTGGAGATGATGTGAGGGTATTTGTAATTCAAAATTGATCGCAGATGACGTCTGTGAGCAATATCTAGTTTTTCCAATACTGATTTAGGGGCAGCCCAGCAAGATGAATTGTACATTAAAACGGATACTACCAGAGCCTCATACAACAGAAGCCTCTTGCTCAGAGGGATCTTATGGTTCCAAGCTTTCTTGTATTTGTTAAACGCGGCATATCCCAGACATATCCTTCTAGAGATGTCCTCCTTACTACAAAGCATGGAGCCAAGCGTGATACTCTTTCTCCAGAGCTCGTTCCCTGCAATTGGCTTACCCTGATCGTCTTTAGCTCCCTTTTCAGCTAAGTACACATGAGTGAAATCAGTTTTGTCTTCGTTAACGAAGAGATTCCAATCTTTAAGGACTTCTGTTGCAATAGGCAACAGCTCCCTCAAATTGTCTTCATCTTCATCATTGAAGTCGATATCATCAGCATACTCACTGTCAAGTGGAAGACCAATATCGGTGATAGGTGGGTTAGGCCTATTCGTTGCAGTTTCAAGCCTGTTACGGAGGTCGCGCAAGGCACCCGCTAAGACAAGTGTGAACAAGCATCCAGACAGACAGTCACCTTGGAATGCACCGAGAAAACTCTGGAATTCAGCAGACAGTGTACCGTTGATGTTGACTTTGAGCTTGGTGTTGGAAAGCAAAAGTCTTACCAAACGGACTTCGTCATCATCACAGCCACACTCAACAAGAAGATCGAGGATGGTAGATCGTCGTATAGTGTCAAAGGCACTAGACATGTCGATCCCCATACGATGGTATTCCCACCTCTTCCTCTGGACAACTGATAACATCACACGCTGGCACCATACAATGTCAGCACATGATCTACCCTGCTTGTAAGCACATTGCCATGGACCAGTGAAGGCATTGACTTTATTCTCAATTCTCTTCAAGGTTGCCATTGAAAGAATCTTTCTAACAGCATTTGAGAGAGTGAGGGGTCGTAGATTCTTCACTGGACCAATGGGCTTATTTGGCTTCTGTAAGGGGGTAATGTTTGCCTGTCCAATGGGGTCAAGGTAGGAATTGGTCTCGAAGCTTCTATTGATAATGTCTGCAAAACGTCTGTGTACTGATCCAGTAGAATACTTGAGAAGCTCATTAGGAATCCCATCTGGGCCGTTAGCTCGACCATTTTTGAGACTTCTAGCAGCTGATCCGATTTCTTCACTAGTGAATGGCTTAACTAGTGGGCGAGGAGGTCCTACAAAAGGTTCTAAAGGTGCTTCATCACGAGTAAGTTGTTGCTCAAGGTACTTAGCAACTACGGCAGCTTTACCAGTGTCTGTTGCAATATTGCACCCTTGCTCATCATGAACACCAATACTAGAAGGGGCTTTACTTTTAGGTAAGTTCAGGGTTCGAACAGCTTCAAACATTTTCTTACTATCTGTTGTTGAACTGATGGTATTACAGATAGCATTTATTACAGATAGCACTTATTCTCTACTGAAATTCGTGCAATATTTGAGATCGAGCAATTTGGTTATTGTCCTATATTCTTTGTCAATAGAGAATTCAGGTCAATAGCGTATACAAACTTGACCGCTGTTCAAGGAAAACGGTCTGGCTAAGTAATAAAACAATTCCAAGTTTTGAGAGATGTTCTCTAATTAGACCTTCCTCTAACCCTTTAGTGTGTCACGTGTCTCTTACCAAATCACCTGATTGGCTCCCCATCACCAGACATGTTTTTGGACACCTATTAAAACATCTTCTGTAATTAAAAGACCTCCCCATCATATTATTATCATCCTCTGGTATTTTGTAAATTGTTGTTTATCCACGGGATCGACTGTTCTTGCCATGCCATTTTTTGGTTCATTTCGAAAGAATGTCAGGCGCTGGGTAAGTTTTGAGGATTATTTGTTTAATTGAGAATTGAGGCTGTATTTTCAGTACTGGATTTTGAGAATACGTTCTTATTGGTTGCTTAGATTGGGACATATCGCTGTCCCTGATATACAGATAACACGTTTCTTGCAATTGAAAAAGCAGCCTCACTTCTCCTAAAACATCTTTCTAACACTTGATTAAGTGTAAGTTAAGTAAATGTAAAGAAAGTGAACACTCCAACACTAGATGCCTCTACAATCTACATTCACTGCCACAATCACCGCACTATTCCTTCATTCGTTTGTTTTACTAGGAGTTTTCTTGAGGTATACTATTCGAGTATGCTTCCCAACGGCTAAATTTTCGGAACTATGCTACTTGGGGATATCATATCCGGCTCTGTTATATCTATTTTGATCTACTGGTTTAGGGAACATATACCGACTTTTCTGGAGTATTTTGGGTTATTCATTGATCGGCTGACGTTGATGTTGATCGAAAGAGCACAAAATAGAGAAGAGCTGTTTGGAATTGGAGCTGGAGTTGATGGGACTGTGTGGGTTGCTGAAGGGGATGTAGTTACTTTAGGAGGTGGGGAAGGTCCGAGTGAGGGAGCATTAGAGGTATAGAGTGGGTCAGATGTTACAGCTAGGATGCTGTATACATTTACAATCAATTAACATTCATCATTTTATTGAGACCGAAATACGACACCTAGCTTACATTTTTACGACTTCTAGTCTACACAGACACGAAATGATAACGATCACAATACAAATCAGACACTGACAATGATTCACTGTCTACTGATCATATCATATTCTATTCTAACCAGGATTTATATTTCAGAGTACAGGTCGATTACTGGGAAGCAAAGAACAATCTGCACCATTTGTGAAAGAGCCCCCAACTACTTGCCATAAGGATGAAGTTCAGGAAACATTTGGAAGAGACCCCAGGGTCAGTTAAACCAGATTTTTTCTCTTGTTTGAGATATTGGAGAAAATGTTAGCATTAAAAGCGTTTTTTGTTAATGAAAATTTTAATCTTTATAAAGAGATTTAAGTGACTTTTTGGCATGACATAATCTTTGATTCAGGGTAAGAAGAGTGTCAAGATTATTCACGTGGAGAAAATGGACAGTGATTTGGGATTAGTATTGTCCGGAGGAAAAGGAGCTGGAGATGGAAACATTATTCTAGCTGACATTGTATCTGGAAAATCTGCTAACAAGTTCGTATCTTTACTTTTATTCTTGGCGACGGTTTTTTTCCCAAAAAACTTATTCTACTCTTAATTTTTTCCCATACCACGTTTTCCTAAATTCAATTTTCCTATCTCAAGTTTCCATGATTCTGACGTCTCAAGTTTCCATAATTCTGACGATTCTGTTACTTCAGGGACGGTAGATTGAGGGTTGGAGATGAGATTCTAATGGTGAACAGTGTTGGTCTGCTGGGTATGACTTTGTCTGACGCTAACAAGTCTATCAAGAAACTTCCTTACGGTCCTATCCGTGTCGTGTACTGCTCCAAACTGGTTAGTCGGCCTTGAAATTTAGATTTCATCGATTTATTTAAAGTCGATAAGAAAAAGTTTAATGAAATGTAAGTGACAATATATTCAATAGCTCAACCTTGAACATATTTCTCTATCAGGAAAGTCCAGCAACTACCCCAACTCCAGCTCCAAAACAACAGTCAGAAGATGTGACTCCTAAGGTAGAGTCGGAAATTAGGACTCTTCCTGATGGAGGCAGTGCAACAAGTTTCAACGAGACCGCATCTGCTGACCCAGTTCAGGTTTATACTCTTTAGAGATTTTTTGTTGCTGTGCGTTTATCTACAGATTCTTTTCCAGGAATTATGTTTTCAATTTGACTTTTGTTTTGTGAATCTACACACGTTGTATCCTGTGTATCCTGTGTATCTTGTGTCTCTTGTGTATCCTTATTCCTGACCTCTACACTCTACAGCGTGACAGTGTGAACAGAGGAAGTACAATATCTGATAGTTCAGGTATTGCGAGTCATGGAGGTGATACTGAGTCCCTCTCTCACACTGATAACCTAGTCACTATCACACTTGTCAAGGTAACTCTTTTTTGGAAGCAATCAAATTTATAATTTATTTCCAGGGATAACTGTCTCGATATACACCGATAGATTAGGCCTTCAGGATTTAGATTCTTCAATAATTTATCTCATTTTCATGCGTTCAATCAAAATCCTAACTAAAATTATGATTCTTCACTCTTCAGGCTTCGAAGCGACCACTTGGTTTTACAATAGTCGGAGGTAAAGGCAGTGCCAAAGGTGACATTCCGATATATATAAAGAAAATACACGCCGACGGTGCGGCAGCAGCAGATGGAAGGTTGCAGACCGGAGACGAAATAGTGGAAGTCAATGGCCTAGCCATGGTCGGTAAAAGTCACGCGGAAGCATTAAAGATATTCAAGAGTGCAAAGAAAGGATTCCTGACGTTAGCTGTACGACCATACAAGGACAGCAGTATTCAGAGAAGTTCCTCCCTGTCTCAGTCTATGTCTCCAACTTGTTTTTCTCCTACTCCTTTCGCTGACCAAACTCTCGATGATGGAATAGGTAACAATGTTTGACTTTAAAATTGCTGTTTACTTTTAGACACTCTGGAAGATTCTTGATTTGATAATTTGAAAATTCTGCTTCAATTTAAACATTTCTCCAACTACCCACTTTTCTCAGGAAGTATGGGATCAGAAGTCCTGGACTCCACGATTCAACAAGATCCCCTTGAGCACGAGAGCACGTGCATTAAACTAGATTTCAACGCGGGCATGAGAATGGGACTGCGACTCCAACCTGCCATTTCCCCCTTCCTTGGGTATATGGAGGTAAGCCGAAATCTTGACAGCTTGAGAGTTGAGATACTCAATGAAACATTTTTACTTCTTCTCTCATTGTTGGTTAAAATCCGAATTTAAGACTGAAAGAACAGTCCAGCTTGATATCACAATTGACCCATGTTTCGTTTATAGGTAGCGGAAGTACAACTGGACCCTTATCCGTCTGATGACGTCACGTTGTCCAAAGGTCACGTGATAATGAGGGTTAACACTCGTGAGATGTTAAACGTTCCTGAAGACGAACTGCTTGATATTCTCAACGGTCTGGTGAGTCTATAAAGCAATGTTGATAAACTTTGATCTGAACACCAACTAAAGTTTAAGACTGACTTGTCACTCTTTAACTATACTGTATATAATGAGTTTTCACTCTGTGAGCTACTTATTTCGTGACTTACCACTTTCTACCCAGGTTGAAGATAGGCTAGCTATTGCTATCATGCTTGGTATTTACCCTGTTCAACCAAAGCTGTCACTGTCCTTGGAAACGAACTCTCAATCAGCGTCCCCTCTGACTACACCCACGGAGGCGCGCCGCAGCTTGGCCAGGACATACTCAGTAATGAGCGTATACTCGCTCCCTCCTCCGCCCCAGGAGTTGCTGGAAGATGATTACTACTCTGGGACCCTCACAAAGACATCTGCTCCTTCCACTGGAACCTTGTCTAATGGTCATAGTAATGGGGCTCTTTCTAATGCTGAAAGTGTGGGAGCCTTATCTAACCATTCAAGTGATGTTTCTTTTACGATATCTGTGACGGCACCTGCGACGCGAGGGCAGGCGACCGAGGCTGGAACTTCAACATCGGTGCGTTCTTTTCTTTTATGCATTATTTTGTTCGTATCATTCGATTATTATGACTCGTAGGATTCTGTTAAACCAGAGATTTATTTTCGTTCTTTCTAACTTGTAAATACCTCCAGAATCGCCCCGAGATGTCTAGCAACCCTGGCTCTGCTCCCTCAATCCCAGAAGAGAGGTATATTGCTATGTACCCCTCAATGGGAATGGATGTTAACTGGACTGGAGAGCGAGTTGAGAACGGTCCGTTCGTTGTGGAGTTTTTCAGAGACCACAAAACTCGGTTAGGAATGACGCTCTGTCTCAATGATGAGAATCATCTGGCTGTTAAGAATATCGAGAGTAGTGGAATTATCTACGCTGATGGCAGGCTCAGGTAATTAACAGAACAGATAAATAGATGAGGATTAGCAAATAAAAAGAAGATTTTAGAGATATTTTTGGTAGAAGTAATTACCCCAATCACTTAGTTATTATCTTAATTAACCTGTAATATAACCAGGTCGGGCGATGTTGTACTCGCTATAAACAACGTGCCAGTAAGCGGTCTCTCTTTCTACCAAGCTGCACAGCTCTTGAGATCCTGTAAAAACAAAGTCCAGCTCACCATCATTAATGCTACAATCCTGGACCAAAAAGTGACAGTGCCGGAGCCAGTGGTTAATCTTGAGATGTTAAGCAATATTACTGATGGGGATACCAACGCTGATGAAGTTTCAGCTATTTTAGAACAAGAAATACAGCGAGTCGAGTGAGTTATAAAATTATAAAATTGTCTTGTTCTGATAATTGCATTCACTCCCAATTTATTTAAGCACTTATTAAACCTATGATAATGATGCAGTTTGAAGGTTTAACATGTATTTTGTGATTCACGAGATAAGTTGGAGTAACCTTGTCCTTTTTCAGAGAGACAGATTCAGCAGACCCTCTCTACTCTGTACCGGACAAGAGACCTCCTGTACTGGATGCATTCGATCAACTCCACCAGGACATGACATTACAACTACCAACAATCCCAACTAGCAGTAGTCAATCAAGCAATCAATTAACTCCAGATATTGGCAGCAGACGAGATATGATTCTCAGTAATGCTGGAGAACAAGTAGTTACTGTTAACGTCACCAGGAGACCTAATCAAGCGCTTGGTGAGTCCTTATCTGGCGAGAAATCTCATTCCTATGGTTCTATCTGAATGGCATTCATTTGACGACTATTCATAATTTTTAAAGAAAAATTATTCAGTACAAACTACAATACGTTTATCTCAGGAGTAACAATACAAGGTGGAACAGACACTCCACTAGGATGTATCCGGATCAAGAGGGTGATTATAAGCAGTCCTGCTGCTGCTGCTGGAATCATCCCTAATGACATCCTCCTCAGTGTGGAAGGTAAGAGCTTTTTTACTTACATTTCTAGTTATGGGTTGAACTTTTAAGGGTTTTATAAGATGCTAATGAGAAATATTTAAAAAAAAACATTAAGTTAAATGTTATTCAGGTAACGATCTGACGAACTGTACCCATGACCAAGCATTGGAGATAATGAAAGATGCTCCGCTTGACACGACAATGGAACTGTCCCGATACTTTGGAAGGAGGGAGGATCAGGAGAAGAAACAGGGTCTTGACACTCAATCACTTTGTAGTGCCATGAGCTGGCAAACTGGAACTGAAAATGGGAATCATATGACTATGAGGTTTGTAAATTGTTATTAAAGAATAAGTTTTGATTTTCTCGTTACTAAAGTTCCTTTACTGATCAAATTGAATCACTAAATCACTGAGGTATAATTGAGTATATCATAACGATTAATTAACTAATATAAAGGAACAACTTCCAATAAATATTAATTTCCTTCTCAGAGCACCTGGAAGTTTTGCTCCCTCATTCTACAGTACATCTGCGAGTGTGTACCCTGGTACGTACAACTCAGTCGAGGAGCTGGCTCGAGACCACGTCTTCCCAAACGGACCGAACTCTAAAATGCAGATAAGACTCTGGAAGGGGCCTAAAGGCCTGGGTTTCAGTGTAGGAGGGGGATTGGGGACTACGCAACCTCCACATATCAAGCGAATTTATTCAGGTTAGTCTTAACATCTATACTGAATTTATTTATTTGGAAAATAACCCTCTAATGGAACGTTAATTTAAATGTAAATGAAACCCCCCTCCTAACTCCTCGGCCCCCTCAGGAAGTCCAGCACACAAGTGTGGTCGACTGATCCCCGGTGACGTCATCACTTCAGTAAACGGTGTGGACTTGTCCGCTCTGAGTCACGTGGAGGTGGTGAATGTTATTAGGTACATGCCCATGGGGGAGGTGGTGCTAAACGTGGCCAGACATCAAGCCACTAGGTAATAGAGAAGTTGGACTCTAGCCAGACCGGGCATCTTCTTCCGAACAGAGACATTTTCACGCGATTAGTCATCATAACTTTAATTACTTAGATGAGAATGCAGAGACACTGACTATTTGAATTTCAGTATTTAATTTTCAGTATATTAACTTACCTCTTTTAGCTTTAGGTGTTAGAATGTACATTGCATGACATTACCTCTGACTCTCTGACTAGTATTTTATCATTTTCTAATGTTATATTTAAACCTGACTCTACCTTGGGGTCGCTGGATGCCACCTTTCCATCACTGGCTAAATCCAGAGATGCTAGGGTAATGAACTTACTTAGGAATGATGCGTAACTTTATTTATTTTGATCTCCAGCTGTTGATGCTGATTTATTTTGTTACTTATTTGAGGTACTTGATCCTCGATTTCCACATTATGTTCTGACTTTTTTCATCAGACGAGATCTAATTGTTGATACAAAAACTTGCGTCAGTTTTGGGTTGAAATGACGATGTACAGAGTTTTAAAATAGATTATTTACTAATCGTAAATTATTTTTGGATTAAGATAAGTTTCGAAGAGAACTTAAGTTTTTATTCTAAAGATATTTACTCAGTGGTTTTGAGGATGTTTAACATTATAGTGAGTTTTAATTCAGTCATTTGAATTAACGTTTTACATTGTAATGTACCTTGTAATTAAATTCAATCTCTTATCACACAAAGAAAAAGATTTCGTCTTCATTGTAGTTGGGGTGCGCTCGCAAATGATGTGACCTTTATTTATGGAAATTATTAGAAATCCCCCACATCCTTACCCCGCAATATCAAATTTAGTACATTGAGATTAATGATTATGCTTCTGAAAATTCTGAAAATGATCAAAACCTCATCTAGTCTGAAGAAAGACTGAAACTGCATGTTGAAAGTGTTGAATACAGCGTGATCTAAATGACAAATTAAACTATGGAGATTATTGACATGATTGGCCTGGTAATCGCCAATTAAAGACTGCTATTTTGACAAAGTGTCCAAATTGCCCTACCATATGTTACTCCCTCTTTTGTTCTGGAACAGAATTAAATCAATCAGTCAATAGATTGACCTCTGTAAGTTCTTGCGAAGTGTTGGTAGTCTCCCAGATCGCTGATTGGTCAGGATTATATGCTCTCTGTGCGATTGGTTGTACGTGAGATTCAGCTTGTATTTTAGAAGGAAGCTTAAGTCGCACTGGACTGGGAAATTGGCAATATTTGGCAACAAAATAACAATTACCAACATGAACTGAGGTGCAGTCTCACGGTGCAGTGCTCTTCTCAAACTCCAACCAATGACAGTGTCGCATTTCTCCTTCTGAGCCAATCAGGTAGCCGGACATGGGTCACATGGTGTGATTAAAGCTGGAGTGTGATGTGGGAAGTAGGACCAGATTTTCACATCACCCGTTGATCGATTACCTCGTTAGAAGAGGAAATGATGAGGTTGTAAAATACCTTCTCCGGGATTGTTTACAAGACAGTAAGACCTCTCACTACAGTAGAGACCTCGTGATATATAATGGGACACTTAACAATCTAATTAGCCACTAATTGGTTCCTCGCTTCCCTCAAAGGAATGTAGCCTGCACTTGAAAACAATAAGCTCAATAACACTTGAAATAACCCTCGAGGGGAGGTAAATGATCGCTGCAAATACTTAAATACACGAATTGAAGGGGATACTTCATCGGCCCTAATTTCCCCGGCACTAATTTCCCCGGCCATAATTCAGCTTTTTATGTTTCAATAGGAACATCTAGTGCCGGAAAACAATATACCGGTACTGATACCACAAACCCTCATATGTAAATTATGTGAGCTCCGCGTTACTGATTATTTGGTCTATCGGGTATTTCTCTTCTAAGTATGAAGTATGTAAATCGTTCCCGCAAGACGCCCAATAATCCGAGTGCACTGTGCTAACATTCAGACCGATAAGGTACTTATAATGTTATGTCTAGCTCTGCACCGACAGATACCAGTACCTGGTACCACTTGGAGTTAGTGTTATCATGTACTCTACATCATGACTCTCTGTCGGAAGTACTCAAAACTGAAGCAGCATCGGAATATGATGATGATGACTCCGACTACCACTGTGATTATTGGTATGTGACTATTGGTATGAACTTGTATTAACTGGGTACCAGACTGCCAGTGCCCAGTATGGTTCCTTTGATCTGCGTAATCTTTGTTTTCTTCTTAAACTTAAAGGTAGGAGACTGATACAGGAACATAATTTATACTGGGTTACAATGCAAATTCCTTAAGCCTTCAACTGAGTTGTTGGATGATGTGAATCGATTGATACAAATATACCTTGTACCGGCTTTCTCGCAGAAATACGATTACACAAACCTGCTCGGGTGATTTTTCCTGACTCCAATCGATTTCAGGGCTTAACATGGAATAAAATCAACCCATATGACTAGCTAATTAAATAGTACAAATTCATGATATAGAGATCGAGATTAATATCGACGTAAAATTATCATCTTTAGAGAGTTCTCTCGGTCCTATTTCGACCAATGCCCAAACCAAATTAGTCTGAACCGGCTTTACTTTAAACCCCCGAGCAAGCATTTACAGCACCATTTTAAATAGTACAATTATTGTTGTCAAGAGTAGCAAGTTGAGACCCCGAATCATAGAATATAGGATTAACACTTGGTTCTCTAAGAGGGCCGCCCAATCAGCCCGACACCTTGCAGTCACGTGACCTAGCCACGTGACGGGCAGATGGTGCTGAAAAGTCAGGGAGAATTGCGGCTAAACAGTGATTATCAACACGGTGATGATTGTGTTGATCATTGACCGGTTCAAGCAGCCCTGATTGGCTTATCGCCCTGTCCCACAAAATTAGTTCTCGATTGCACGTGGAAATAAACTTGGCAACTAGGGGCAGCCATTAATATCTATAACGACCAAAATAGACCATTCCCGCCTAATCATATACCTTGGTACGCGTTATATTATGCAAATCTTATTTCTTATTTCCTGAGGTACCCATTCCTCAGTCCAAACCTTGACCCGGTTGGGATTTACTCAGAGTAACCTTCTATCGAAGGGTGCCATAGCTCAGAGACCATAATCATATTATACCTGAGAGATATTTTCCCGAAAGAACTTGCTTTTTCCACAGTAAAAAAAGCATTTTCTTTCACTTTCTCAAGTATTTGGTAAGATGGTTTAAAACTATCACTGGCGTTCAAAGGAATCACTGGCGTTATATTAATGAATACCAAAGTTACTGGTTTTAGCATGAATGGTGATCACTAGAACCATCTGTAGAGTGTTATACTTACAGTTGTTATTAATTGTGAATGTGATTTATGACGATACTTATTGAACAAAGGACCAGGTTTTAATGCTGCGACAAAAAGGATTTCCGTTTTGATATTAATATTATCAATTATGATTAATAATGCAAATTAAACGATTAATTTCCTTACCAGTCCACACCTTGCTGAAGGATCAACTTAGCATTATTAAGTTATAATAATATAAAGTGTGGGCACGACCATTTGATAAAAGCTCTAGGTTAGTGGCAAGGTCCGGAAAAGCCCCAAAACTATACTTTTGGGTAATGAACACTTCCGTGTAGTAACTCCAGCCCCTTTATTTTACGAAAAAAGGCTTCTTTCTCTCCTCCTCGTGATTAAACACAGAGATTTCATTGGTTAGATTAGAAACACCTGGAATTGTGATTGGTCAGTACGGAAGAGTTGCGAAATCGTTTTTGTGCTGAGCAACGCTAACGGTTTTTAAACTTTACCCAAGCAGCCCGAAAACAGCCCACTTTTAGTTTTACCATTCACAAAAATTCTGAGCACAAGCTTTGCCTGATTAAACTCAATGTCACGAGGCAACATGCATCACCGCTGAGATTAAAATTGAATAGTACTTGTTTTACTTATAGCGCCCAAACAAAGGGCCCGGCCACAACAGTTCATCCGATTTAGACCACCTTGAAACAAATAGACTAGTGTTAGTACTACACGTGCTCCTACGGGGGCTCCTATCTTCGATTAAATTTTGTTGTTATTTACAAATTTTGTACTGCAAATTGATCAATATCCATCGGTTTCATTAAGCTCGGGGTTCAAACTTGAAGAACAAAATCGTTAATGAAATGAATATGGAGCACCTATCATGTTGATCATGACCGAATTCTAAATCTAACGACAGTTGAACTTGAATCAAAAAACCTTGGCTGCATTCAATCAACCGATCTTAAAACTTGAAATGGCCATCGAATGGCCATCGAATGTTACCATTGACAATATACCAAAATTCATTCTATCTCAAACTCTTCTTTAGAGCTTATAGGTTAATTTTACCTTAGCCTCTAGCCCAACGCCCAAAAGTAAAACTTGATTTAAAGCGGTGAGGGGTGACAAATTTCAGCAGCGCGAGCATTGCTCAACTTAGAATGATATTTTTCAGGAATTGAGTCCAACTGAGGGACGCTACTGTATTTAGTAATATTTGAATTTCGCACCCGACTTGGTTATGGGGCAAATATAAAAGCGGGTGAAGGCAAATTAACCCATGAGAGTAATCTGAACAGGTACAAGAAAGGTTATAGCATCTTCAATATTTATATTTTAGCACATGTTCAATGTTCTCTAATTTGTCAGGGCTATGAATTGAAGGGAATTTGAGTTTTACTTTCACAATTCACAATCGAATAACGACGTATAACAATGTTATTCGATTGTGAAAGTAAAACCCAAAATCCCTTCAATTCATGTCGCTGACAAATTATAGAATAGCTTGCAAAAAGGCTGGTATCGGCGCCTGCTTACATTTACAGTGCAATTCAGCGAGGGCCAGCACACAATACGTGAGTCAGACTGACTAGTTCGCAGCAACCCATTCCCCAAGAACCATGGCTGCCTGGACCGTATTTATAACAGCATCCTAGTCACCATTCTGTACGTGTCACAATATTCACTGTAGTTGCTATGACAACCATGAGCCGGCTGCCAGGACAGCTGTCTATGGTTCAGCAGTGTAGAGACAATAGGTTGGAGGAAACCCATACAAGTTGCTGCAGTTAACACCGGCTTCACACAGTCTCAACAGGCCGGCTGATAAGTATCTTGAACAGTGGTATATCCATGTTTACTTTTAGAGTTATAGGAACTGACTGATACAGATTTAGAATGTATTTTGATATGTAAGATCGTGACCGATGAAAAGTGTGAGACGAAGATTGAGAGGCATATTTATGATACTGTTCAAAGTACGTGATTGAGAACCTACCATGAAAAGAACCTGGGAAGCTTTGATAAGAACACTGATAATATTTGATCAAAACTGGTCAAACTTGGCCCCCCAAGGCGTGGTTTTATTTCTGACCTCATCAACGTTCCTAAAGCTAAACTGGTCATTTCAAGTTGTATCGTTAAACTTATCACACCTACCATTTGGTCCATAAATCATAAACGCTCCACTTAAAATGGAGCAGATCATTTAATTGAGGTTAGGCGCCCACTTGATTCCTGAAATCGGCTACGTGCAAGGAATATGTTGTTGTGTTTTTGACAAAACAATCACACTGCCTTTGTTACCTTCACAACATAGACTGCGTTATCGTCGCACGGTCATCATTATTTGAACCTGATAACAAAGCCACGGATACTCCAAACCAAAGCAGGCACCCATTCCAGTACTGGCATACAGTGTCAAAACGTCCCTTGTCACACACATTAGTCGGGGGATCTAACGAGTGATTAGTGCTAAACTAATTGGTCTCTTCTTTTGTTCAGCGGCTATCGATTAGCACCCATAATAGGGAACTATGGGGTCCCTCTCCAACGGCACAGAGATGGTATGGGGCGAATAAGCAGTCACTGTATATGCTGAGAGGGACATCTGTAAAAATCGAACTCTTTGTACTAATGGTGGCTGGCACAAAGCTGTAATCAGACGGTATTCTCTCTTAGATAATAAAAGGAGTCAGTAATCTCAGCTGGACTTAGCTAGAGTGGCCTTCATTGTGGCCTGATTGTACGTACCTTAGATTATAATTGGATATGAATGATTATTGTTCATTTTAGTCAAATGGTATGGAATTGTGGGGAAGTTTCCGGAAATTCACATACATAAATATTAAAAGTTTTGGTGATAAGCCGCGTACACTTTACAGTAAGCAATGTTTGTATAATCTTATTGGTACAGGTAAATAATGATATAAACGATATGCTTACAGTATATTGGACAAAGAAATTTGCTGGATTATGACGAAATTATTATAGTTTGGTTTGCTAATTTTGAAAAGTCTGAAAACAGTTCTACACTTTCGTTTTAAATTTTATACACCTCTTTTGGCTGCCAGCCAGACCTGTTAAGGTATCCTGAATGAGGGATTGTAATTGAACCACTCAATTTAAAACGGTAAAGCTGACAAAAAGTTCACGCAAAATAATATTTCACTTTAACTGATCTCAACTAAAGTTCTTCCAATTATCGCTTTAATTGGACCGTCGCTTTTAAGTCTATCTTCAGCTTGTGACGTCCAGGATATGTTTATATCCGAGCTCATGTTAAAAACTGAGTTTTCAAACCTGAAAAAATGTCAACATTAGACACTGAGGATCATATTCAAGTTTTGGGTGTATCCCGGATGGTCATCTACTGTAATTAACGAGGGTAAGCAGTGTTCTCTATCAGTATCAGTAACGTAATTGTTTCCATTAAACTATTTGAGTAATTAGCTTTAAATCTTATTAACTTTTACGACAGCAGTAACATAATGTTAATATAGTAGTTACACTGATCGCGGACACGAAGTCAAAATGTTTTTGCCAAAAATACAGGCAGTATTTTTGTCCATGGTCGCTGATTAGCTGATTATGGAACTGATACTTGAGCTCCAGTCTTCCAGGCCCAATCAATAAAGCTATCTCAATGAATATCCTATTATTTTGTATAACACAAAAAATGAGAGATTAGTTCAACTGACGCCTGAAGAATGCCAAAACTGGGCTGTGACTAAATATTACTTCTAAATTCGGCAGTTTGTTGGTTCAGTCTGTATTCCAATGAGTTGGTGCCTAACAAGTTGGTAAATTTAGTCTACAATGGAAGAGTGCCCTGCCTCTTGAAGTGTCTCTGTAATCATTACATTTCTGTAACACTATTAACCATTGTAATAATGCAGCTCAGACCTTCAGACGCGCCTGACACTGCCAAGTCGGGTCAGCCTGCTCCGACTGCGCCTGTATCTAGAGCTACGTAACGTTGCCTAGCAAACCACTTGACAACCCACGTGGGCACAACGTGCTCTCACTCTTTTGCCTCACTATTTGTCAGAATCAATCCTGAACACCCCAATTATTGTTCATGTGGGTGATTGTAGTGCTCTAGTGTGTGAAAATCTGCCCAAATTGCTCCCAGAATCCCGCGAGAGAGCTGTATAGCTTCCTCAGTAAGCGCGCACGTGACGAATCCGTAGACCCACGTGACCATAATTCGTTATGTCATGTGCTATCGCGTGACGCGCCACGTGCATTTCTAATCAGGATAGCAAGAGGAGGAGTTAGACCCAATCCACCATATTTCAACTTTTTCAATCTGACCTTCGTTATGGTTCTATCGTCAACTGAAAACATGAGTTCCGGTAGGTGTTGATAATTTTAACATAATTATGAAATTTGTAATAGTTTTTGTGATTTTTATCACCACTGCTGTTCTTTTTAAATCACGTTGATAGGGATATTAGCATTGGAAAGTTGGTAACTGATGGCAGTAAATTTCACTTGGCCCATTCTTCCGCTTTAACTAATCAGTGTAAGGGATATTGGCAATTTTTGTATCTTGTATAGTTATATACAGCTAATGCGATGTTTTTTATCATCGTCAGTTTTTGCCTCTTTTTATAAATTGATCTTCTTCCGGACATTTTAGATAATCTTCCGAGTCTTGCAGTCAGTTCTGCAGTATTACTTTTATTTGGTGAAGTTTTGCACATCAGTGTCAAAAGTTATTTGTAACCTGCATCTGGTCGTGATCGTCAATCAAGCATCAAAATTTTAATCAATTCTACACTGCACTTTTATTGTCACGTTTCTTCATCAACGTCCTATGAATTATTATCAGAAACACTTATAAAAATGTTTATTGAAGATAACGAACTTTGAAAGTGCCTTGAGTTGTTTTACAATCAATGGAAACCAACATTTGACTTTTGTAGTTTTGTTATAGTTTGGTCATTAATGAACTGTTTGTCTATTAATTAACTGTGAGCAAGTTCCGTTTATTTTCCTAAAGGCCTCTTCAGTAGAACTCACTCAGGACGAAGTATTCAAGTACCAGCCCGTACCCTGTCGTGGTTATTGTTAAACTTTGTAAACCAGCATTTCACTACGAATTAAGACTAAGGGGTCTGCGTACAAAAGGGACAAATACTTAGGATTAATTAATTTGTTGGTGAACAAGCTGAACTGCCATGTTAAAATGTCCCGGAAGGATGAATTATGCGAGTTGGTGCCCACACAATTCTATAGTTCTCCTGGACCAGCGTGGAGAGCTGGCCCCTCTAATTTGTAAAACGGATGTTAGGCTTCGCTATCTGCCGCCCCTTCTTTATACAAGGTGATACTGAGAATACTTTTCTGAGTGCAACTTGAACTATCTTTAATTACTGCAAACAGAATCACTTTCCGAATTGGTCTTGATTTTGGGATCCGTATTTAACGCGAGCAGGTATACCGAGACTGGATTTTTAACGATTTATTAAGTACGTGGAACAGGAAAATTAGCCATGTGTACCCCGTGTAAACATTTCTAAATCTCTCTTTCGTCATCCTGATAATTCGCTTGTTCACTTCCCTCGTATAATCATGTCTATAGCATAGGATTTATAACCTTTAACACGGCTATGATATCAACAATTAAAATGCTCCGGTCGACTCGTTTCCATAGGATTTAGTGTATAATTGTTGGGATCCTTAGAACAAGAGCCAGTTTATTCTACAATTTACGAACAGTATGACTATTATCTTAAATAATTTTTTCTTCCACCCCACCACCAATGTCCTCCTCCATACTGAGCCTGCAGGTTATTCGCGGCGCCGCATCCTTCTTCCATTCATGATATTGACCTTAGAAATTGGCCTATGGGTTTTATATATTTCGATAGGCAAGTGAATTACGCTTTTACAATTTCCAGGGCTCCGGTAATCAGGGTTCAATTATCCACATGCTTGTAGATCATCGTTAATCCCCTTGGAAATCAGCTAGTGATTGTAAGCTTATTAAGACTTTATCCCATCCGCACGTGGAACGGCACAGGGAGATTCCTCATTGGTGGCTTAAGTGCACGTGCCCAGGACACTTCGTTTTGATTGGCAGCAGCTCCCTTACCCCCTGCTTCACATGTACAAGAGACGCCAGGTTGTTAGTCTCTGGCTGAAGGAGATTTCAAAGAACTTCAGACTCAGGATGCACGTGCCACTGGGTTTTCCTACGGTTTTTTTCAGTCGTCACTAAGTCACTTAGCCGCTAGAGCAACCCTCGTGCTTAGATTGCAAGAGATTCTTTCAGATCTCCAATTTTGGAGACCACTGGATTTATAGAAGAGCAGATGATTAAAGACTATTATCGTAGCCGTAAAAAGTATTTAAGCACGAGGTCAGGAAATTGTGGTTGTACAGAGCTTTACTATAAAATAATCCAGTGTGGTCCCAGAAAGTATTTCGCTGAGTTGATAGGCCTACGTGTGTCGATCACTATAGAATATTTCACTTAATTAGCTTGATGCTATCCTGATGGTAATTTATCGGATATGAAAGGTTCGTAAATCGACTAGTTTGTTAGATATTTGATCTTCAGTTCTCGAGACTAGCCTGTAATCTATGATGTAACTCCTCAAATAAACTCGTTCATTTTATGGTAACATAACAGACTTACAACATATGTTGTCGGCCCTGGAGTGGTTATTGGTTGAACAGTCTGTATTTAGCAGGCACCAAGTGAACAAATTTCAGAGAAACATCACAAAATCGAGTAATGGCTATTAATTTGACATTTTGAGACAAATTTTGATAGTAGCACTTGGTAATGGTTCGAACTTTCCACTGTTTAGAAACGTGGCCAGTCCAATCACTTTGTCGAGGATATAGCGATTGTCACCTTGATGATGGTTTGGTAAAGGCAGAGAATTAGGTGCTCCAGTGGTTTTGTTCTGAAACAAACTCACCAAAATTACTCTTGTGTTATTGATTCGGAGAAGGATATTAGAAGGCAAGGTTTCCAAGTGAAGCTCATTGTTCGTAAGAAATTGCCAGGTATCCTCTATAGGCCCGGACCTAAATTCTCAGTACAATGCTACAGTTAAGACAGATCTATTGTCTGATATCTACTTCAGAACTGCCAAATTCTTAATAAATTCGGTACCTTATATTGTGAACAGTGTGGTGAAATTTTGAAAGTATAGACTAATAGAGTAATAGCAATATTTTTCAGAAATTCCAAAGCCAACTACGCCGATATCAGACGCTTCTAGTCTTCCTTTTTCGCTGATAAATCTACTCAAGTGTTCGCCCTCAAACACAGAGAATAGGCCCAGAAACACTCTTAACACCACCGCACAAGGTAAATATTGTAAAATTTATGCATAAAGAAAATCTTCTGTTATCTCTAATGATATTAATTTGATTTCAATCAACCCTGTCCCAATCAAGGCTATTCCAATTACTAATCTTAATTTCCCGCCAGGTATCCATAGCATTTTCCCGAACTTGCTCTCCAACACTGCTTTACAAAATGTGCTCCCCAGCCCGAGCATCGCCAGCACCCTGTCTTCCTCCCTTTTAAAAACTTCCCTTGCTTCAGCAGGACTTTCTTTCGGATCTTTCGACCCTTTCTCTCAACTTGCGGCTCTCAGACTTTTACAAGGTAGATTTTATTAACAAACGTGAAAAATCGCCACATAAAGTGGGGTCTATACAATACTTATAAAATCAAGGCCGAGACGCTAAAAGGCTACAACAATTATCTTTCAGTAGCCTGAGATTAATCGGTATTTTTCAGAAACGAGCTCCAAACTAAAGTCGAGTATAGCAGTTCCCGTCCCCGTGCGAGTCACACCCTATCCAACCTCGCGACCTCTCCGAACCTCACCCTCCCCTTTGGAGATGACATCACCGAGCGCCAAGACTACCGGTTCTCCTCACACCCGACATTCGAGCTCAGAGGAGAGCTCCATCAGCTGTAACAGTCTACCCTACCATAAATACTCTCCATTTGGGGAACTATATAGGTAAATTTCTTCATTCATGATCAATCGATTAAAGTTCGGTTTCATTTTTGAGAATTTACAATGAAATAAGGAAATCCGACTGATTGTTTGTTGTTTAGCGTAAGTTTTTGATTATTCTAACAATTTCTCCTGCAGACAAGAATTGTTGGACGAGAAAGTACTCAGCCCTGCGAGTATTGCCGCTAACCGAAGCAGCGCTTTTCAACAAGTTTCTCCTGATTCCAGTGCCGAAATCCTCCGAGCTAAACTTACCGGTAAGATTTAGTAGAATAAGTAAAAAATATTTATTTCCTGATGTTATTCCAAATTATGAAGGTATCATCATGGTGGTTTTTACAGTCCGGATTAACAGACTGGCTAATTTGTCATGAGATGTAATGACTCGCCAAGTTTTTGTGGTGATGGCTGTGAACCTCACCATTCACCACCATGCCTCATTACAAGCAAAATCCATGGCTCCCCTGCTTGCCATCAACTTGTCAAAACCTCAATTTATCATTAACCCTGCTTCTGTTTTACTATCTGAATCTGCAACTCTAACTGACAGAGTATAATCTTGACAGATTCTTCATTATAACGTGTGATTTGATTCTAATCGCCGACCTAGTCTGCACGTGGATTGACCCTATCAATTGTTTGGACCCAATAATTTGTTTTTTCATTTGTCGACCCGATTGCAGGCAACTCTCGTCTAGATTTTATTCATGAATTATCCAACTAGTTGACAGTTATTAGCGGGTGTCCCCACTCGCACGACAGTTGTATTAAAAACGGCAATAATATTAAGCACGTGCAGAAACCAACTCGCTCTTTAATCTTGAAACCATTTTTCCATTGGCATTAGCCGAGTGGTGCGGAATATAATCCCTTATAACAGTGGCTTTAACCGCAATTAGCGCCTGTTCTAGTGCTCTTTATTAGTCCACCTTATATACAAATGCATTGCACCTGCCTCTCTAAAACTAAATATGTTTTTTAAAATCCGTAATTACAAGACCATGTCATTGCAGCGCGGCCCCAATAATTTTTGTTGAGACTCTACAGCTCTCTTACAATCTACTCGACAAAGAGCTCCTGTAATTACGTACTTAAAATCTAAAAGATGCACCCGCGCTAGGATAAGTAGCCTGTCAATGATTTGGGAATTTAGTAACTCTGGGCGAGGAGGAGGACCTAGTCCGATTATGATGTAGGTGAGATCAGGGGCTAGCTGAAAACGGTTGCTAATTGCCGGGACCTGATAATTGTGCCGGTAATGCCAAATGTTCCAATAGGAGCCCTCCGCGAATAGTGATTTTAGTGCGGCTCCACCTTCGTTGGGAAGCCCTACCGGAATGAGTCGACATTTAAGCTCACCAAAATGAATTTGAGGTGGTTATTTTATTGGTCATTAGGCCCGCATTGCTCCGATATATCGGCACATATTTATCACAAGAGTGCTAACCCGCACCTTGCCTCTAATTAAAACTAAAATCACGGCTTAAGTGCATAATTGACGTGTATGGTGAAGAGGAGGGGGTTCTGACAGGGTCCATGGTCCACAATTGGGAAACGAGAGTCAGCCCCGTAGCCACGTGGCAGAACTTTAGATCCTTTTGTTGAAAGAGAACAACTGCAGCTCTCGTTAAGAAGACTTAAATGCCATGGTAATGCTCATTACATAAGAGGACAAGAAAGGGATGGAGGGGGAGGAGGGACAAAGCGTTCCTTTGCAGACACTCGTTTGCTCGTGGAGAACAGGCCCTCAAAACCCACAACTTATTCCTGTACATGAAGTAATAATATATCCACAAGGGGGTCCGGGGTATCAGCGGATACAGCCAACATGTCAATACAATGGACTCCTTACCCCGGTTTTATGAATGCTGACTCCTCAATTCTCAGGATCCAGCCCTTGTTTGGTGAGCTGTCTCCCAATGACAAGCAGAGGTCACGTGACAAGCAATCGTCACGTGGGGGCACCGTGTATTTGTTGAATTATAATCAATAACGATTATCTCTTGGTTTTGCTTTGTTTTGCTCCCTAATTCCTGTGGCCCATTGTCTGAGGCTTTTGTCCGACCCAGACTCTTGTTTATATCGAGTCTTGTTTACCCCCTGGTTTTTAAAGGGGGCCTGCACCACCATATACCTCTAATTAGTTTTAATAAGGTAGCTAATAGAGCGGGCCAAGGCGCTTCCTTGCTCCGAAATCGCCGATTGCGGCTAATGTCACAACACCTTGGGTTTTGGTAAACAAATCTATTTGAACTCTACAACTAGCTCGCTCACAATAGATGGGGCATGACAATGCAGATAAACGGCCTCACGTTCTTTTGAAGAGATTAAAGATTGGGCGTCCATTCTGCAAGAGATAAGGACCTGAAAACACAACCGAATTTCGGGATCCCATGGCTTGTAAATTTATACATAATCTGTGCCATCATTTCTATTATAGGTCTGGTTAAATATCCAATATCCATTCGGAAAACGGATAAATTCAAATCTATATGCCTTGAATCATTCGCTGCTAAGTCCATATGCCATTATACTGCGACATGTGGGCAGAATATAATATTTTGACATATGACTTATCTAACCCAAATCAACCCTGCTTGCATGGTCCTAATTTCGTAATTTTAATCCTTGTGTGGTGTTCTGCGACTAAAACGAGATTTAGGATCATTGGCCGGCTCTAAAGGCCGGGTAGAACCACCTTGTTCACCCTAAAGTTGGACCATATTACAGACTTAGCACGGAGTTGCTTATACGCATAATCTTGCTCAACATCCAGAGACGAATGGTACAACTTGATACTCTCTTGTCAGGCAGTTCTATTCACAACCCAGCTCAGGAGGAACTGACCTCCAGAGCCCTTGGTACGGACTCGAACAGAGTTCAGCTTCCTGATCCCGGCCACGATTTGCAGTACTATAGTGCACGCCACAAACGTTACGAATTGGATAAGTGGTTGTACACAGGGTGGTATGGTGCAGCCTGAGTCTGACACAGAGCTACTTCATCTTATCTATTTAGTTACGGTGTGAGATACAAATCTTTTAACCATGTATGTCCTACCCAAATTCTAAGGATCTTAGAACTCTGTTGAAGGCAGAATCAGGATGTTCAATAAGATCTCTCTGGATTTAATACGACCATCATATTGCGTAGAATAAACCACAATCACTGGGCATGAAAGTTGGATCAGAAATTGATTTGTAACTGGGGAAAAGAGAAGAACAGAAGTGGACGCAATTAAGTTTGAGGACCAAAATTAAATAATGAAGCTCTTCTATTCAAAATTGCAACATTATTTAATCTGTTCCTTTTTCAGATCAAGTCATGAGACAAGTATTGATGAACTCTGATCCGTTGGGGAAGGTCGTCAACAAAGATATGACGATCAGTGGAGGCAACAAAGCCAACCATGTCTGTAAATATTGTGATAAGGTACAAATCTCCTCTGGAATTTTCTTTTTGATTTAAATTTCATCAGTTCATCAGTTCATCAGATCTGGCGTTGAGAGTTATAGCAAGCAGATTAATGTGACAAATAGTAATACTTAACAGCAGACTTAACCGCCTGAAAGATACATTAAAATATGATCTGACACAACCTTCTCCACAGCTGTTTCCATCTCCATCCCACCTGCTGATCCACCTCCGAACCCACTCTGGAGAAAGGCCCTACCCTTGTCCTGGGTGCGGCAAAACCTTCGCCACACGAGGCCATCTTCGTCGCCACTACCGGATCCATACCGGAGTCAAACCTTACAAGTGCCAGGTACATTCCACCTTCCATTTTTTAAATTAACTATTTACTTTAAACCATACAAATTATATTCGAAAAATATTATGATGGTGAGATTCAAATTTTTAGATGTATCAAAACTTCATAGCTTATTGATAATGATACAAAAAGTATTTAACCCAGGCGTGTAGAATGTGGGGTTGTAGCCGGAATTTAGAATAATTGGCTCGTTATTCAGTCTGTCGATCCAACTCTGAAGTGTGTCGCTACCAGAGATCACAACTACTTATCTACTTATAGTCTGTTACCAGGCTATTTAACTCTCTGTTCTTCTTCCACCGTCCTGTCGCTACCATGCTCCCCTCCTCTAGGAATCCCAACTATGCCGGAACAGCCCTGAAAATTGAGCTGTTTGAGAGCAAGTCTCGCTGAATTTAAGATGTTTCTGTCTGAAACTGGGTGGTAATCTGTGCCCAGGGTGCACTTTGGGAGTTTCTTTTGACAGGATCACTACCGTCTGATCAGTGCTGAAACTAATGTATCTGAAAGTGATAATAACTAAGCGAAGCCCGGTGATCCTGATTTAGGGCTCCAATACTGCTTCAGTGCCGAGCTTCTTATCTCGATCAAGTAATCGACTACATTGACAGCTCAATAATTGCCCTAACTTCCAGTCACTTTCTGAGTACCAAGCTGAACAGTGAACAGCATGTTACGTCATCTTAGCGATAATTCGGACAAACCTCTTCAGTCTTCTAACTATTGGTTGCAAGGTCTAATCTGATCCTGGGAAACCTATAAATTATGGATCTTGCATCATCGTCCAACAGTATATGAGTAATGGACTTAGATAAACGAGGGTTAAGATCGACAATAGGATAAATATCATACACGGTGAATTCCTAGATTGACTGTTTTCCTTTTCAGGTGTGTGACAAAGCATTTGCAAACCAAGGTAACCTGAAGACACACACCCGACTCCATACCGGAGAGAAACCGTATAAATGTCCACGATGCGACAAAGCTTTCGCTGACGCAGGGAACCTACAACGACACATCACTACTCACACTGGTAAGCAGCTTTACTTATACATTATAAATATATAAATAGTTTTTTAAATGTACCAAACATTCTGCTTTATTTTCAGCTCGAAAAGTATGAATGTTGTCGAAATGAAGCTGGTCACAATCATTTCAAGAACGATGTTTTTTCTTCTTCATTTTGAGGATTTACTCTTAAAAATCAATAACTAATGTGATTCTGTTCAGGAGTGAAACCGTACAAGTGTATCCACTGCAGCAAGGCGTTCAGTAGGAGCAGTAATCTCAAAACTCACCTCTTGACACATACTGGACTAAAACCTTTCTCATGCACATGCTGCAACAAGAGCTTCACTAGACTCAGCTATCTGAAAGCCCATATGAAGGGTAAGAACCTATATTTAATTTTTAAAATAATACAGATCGATTAAAGAATATGATTTCATGGATCAAATGGAGGTCTTAAATAAAGTTTAATCGGTCATTGATGAGATCAATCCGGCTGAAACTAAACTCCTCTCGTTTCAGGAATACGCCATGCTGACAAGATCACTAGTCCAGTCTGTGAAAACAACAAAGCCCTCCAGGCTACTTCACAGCCACTAATGACGTCACAGCCTCTCTCGATGACGTCACAAAACGCTCTGATCGCTGCTCTGACCGACAGCAACTCCTCTGGATTTAGAGCTCTCAGCAATTTCAGTGTCCAAGTGGTTTGATGAAAATAGACTGATTAGAAAGAGCTGACGCTTGAAATGTGACCGTTTTGATGCTGTTTTACTTGTATAGGACTGTGAATTGTATAGGTATCGTATTCACTGCTGATCTCTACAGTTGTTGAATCTTAGAATTGTGTGCTATTTTACAGGCGAATTTATGAAATTTTCTTGCGATATAGTTTTAACTTGCAGTGAAAATAGAGAGAGAAAACATTTTGTTTGATTTGAAAATAATTTATTGTTTTAAAAGATTTCTGTATTTTAAGTGAAATGTTGTGACTTTGAATTGAGTGTGATTGATGATGTTATCAGTCTATCTGTTGTTCTCTATTTTAAGCTAAGATATTTCTGAAGTGCTGTGTCTTATTTGCCGTCTCAACAAATTTTCTATCGACTAAATTAAAAGGAGAAAAGATTCGTAAAAATAACATCCAACTATCAAAATTAACCTCAAACAAAACTTGATGATTTTTAAACTGTTGAATGCACTACTTTGTGGAAATGGTGACACAATATTTCCTTGCGTTTCAGAAGAATTAACAGTCCAACATTCTCAGCTGAAATCACATGCCGAAACCGTTGATTGGTAAATAATTTTAGCAACAAAAACTATGAACGTAGTCGTAAGCGCTCATATTCTAGCCGACCAAATTTTTGTCATTAAGTCTTAATGTACATTTTGAAATTAAAAAACTATCATATTCTTTTAAATCTCCCGATATTGGTTTAATTTCAAAATATCGAGTGATAAGTAGGGCAACCATACCACCCGATTAAATGAAATAAATAAAATCGACTTATTATTATTCATATAACCAATAGTCGAATATTCGTATAGTTTTCGTTCAACAACTCTATCTTAAATCTGTCAAACATGCTTTTAATGCCATTCAATATAATATTAGCCAACGAATTCTATGGCCCATTCCAGACATTTCCTTGGATTTAACTTTCTTTGTGATTACGACCTTTGTTTAGGTGAGGTAGTATATGCCTCGATCTTATATGTTTTAACAAAGCGTCCTTTGAACTAGGATTACAGTCACAATATTCACAGCCATACTGCCTATTATGTGTCAACATATGCTTTTTCAAATTTCCAGCTGACCTCGCTTTAAAGTCGCAGACAGTACAGTGGTGAGGTCTCTCTCCGGTGTGTGACAGTTTGTGAGTTGCAAGATTGCTCGATCTATTCGATTTGTAATCACACAAACTGCAAGAATAAGGTCTCTCTCCCGTGTGTGTCCGTGTGTGTCTAGCAAGATGGCTCGATGTACTTGATTTATAATCACACAAACTGCAAAAATAAGGTTTCTCTCCAGTATGTGTCCGTTTGTGAGTAGCAAGACTGCTCGATGTATTTGATTTGTAATCACACAAACTGCATGAATAAGGTTTCTCTCCGGTGTGTGTCCGTTTGTGAGTAGTAAGATGGTTCGATCTATTCGATTTATAATTACACAAACTGCATGAATAAGGTTTCTCTCCAGTATGTGTCCGTTTGTGAGTAGCAAGACTGCTCGATTGATTCGATTTGTAATCACACAAACTGCATGAATATGGTTTCTCTCCGGTGTGTGTCCGTTTGTGTCTAGCAAGATGGTTTGATGTACTTGATTTAAAATCACACAAACTGCATGAATAAGATTTCTCTCCAGTGTGTGTCCGTTTGTGTCTTTTCAACATTGCAGTACTTTTAGTCCTGTAGTCACACATTTCACATTTCTGCCGTTTGTTAGCAAGCTTGGCAGACTTTTTAGCGGACGAAGTGGCTTCTCCAATAGTGTCACACATATTGCCACGATCAGGCTCGGTATGTACAGGAACAGAAGAGGATTTTCCTGTAGCAGGCCTTGTCTTAGATGGTGTGAGCGGAAGATTGCAAATATCACACTGAAATTTTTTGCAGTCCGAAGGTTCAGCATTAGTCAGGGCACCACAGAAAATATTGACATCTTCCATTTTCACAACGGCACCGTTTGCAACTTGGTTTTTAAGGTGTTCTGAATTAAATTCATCCTGATCAGCCGGTACACCTTCAAGTTCAGCCTTCAGATTGTTATTTTCGACATCCTTCTTACATTTACAAGTGCATACTGATGATAACCAGGTTGAATTAGTGCTAACTTGCTCATGCTGGTCGTCTGTCATCTCCTCTTTGATATCAACCTCATCAAACTTTTCCGTTTTTTGAACTGACATTCCTGATTGAAAGTTTCAAATGAATGTTGGTTACGTTTTTAGCAAGCACAATAACAAATATTTTTGCAGCTCGAAAGGAATGTGAATTACTGTTATGGTGCCTGAACGACACTTGATGAAATAATGTATTATGCACATTGAAACTATAAAACTTTAGTATATTCTACTAAATCTCACGGTATCGGTATAATTCAAAAATATCGTCATGAGTAAGACAACCGTATCACCCAATTAAATGAAATAAAGAAGTTCAACTTTTAAATATTATTACTCATAAAACGATTAGTCGACTATTTGTATAGTGTCGTTTAACAACTGTATCTTGAATCTATCAAACATGCTTTTAATAATAATTCCTATCAATAAATAATGTCCTGATCCTCGCACTATAATGTCTCAATGTGTCTTCTTCCTCTATCTGCAAGCTTGTAGATCTGCATCTATCAGGTTTTGAAGTTTCACCCTAGCAGTATAACTATATCAGGCTTTATTGTCTCTTTTCCGCTTTATCTAGCTTGATTGTCTCCTTTCCACCATCCCAGGAATAAATGTCTATCATGGCTTAATTGTAATGTTTTTCCTCCACCATAATATCTTGTATACCTCCATCCATGTGTCCTCCAATCTGTCTCCGATCCATGCTTCCAGTTCCATGGACCTCCAATCCATGTGTCCTCCAATCTGTCTCCGATCCCTGCTTCCATGCGACCTCCAATCCATGTGTCCTCCAATCTGTCTCCGATCCATGCTTCCATGCGACCTCCAATCTATGTGTCCTCCAATCTGTCCCCGATCCATGCTTCTATGTGACCTCCAATCCATGTGTCCTCCAATCTGTCTCCGATCTTTGCTTCCATGCGACCTCCAATCTATGTGTCCTCCAATCTGTCTCCGATCCATGCTTCCATGCGACCTCCAATCCATGTGTCCTCCAATCTGTCTCCAATCCCTGCTTCCATGCGACCTCCCATCCATGTGTCCTCCAATCTGTCTCCGATCCCTGCTTCCATGCGACCTCCAATCCATGTGTCCTCCAATCTGTCTCCGATCCATGCTTCCATGCGACCTCCAATCTATGTGTCCTCCAATCTGTCCCCGATCCATGCTTCTATGTGACCTCCAATCCATGTGTCCTCCAATCTGTCTCCGATCTTTGCTTCCATGCGACCTCCAATCTATGTGTCCTCCAATCTGTCTCCGATCCATGCTTCCATGCGACCTCCAATCCATGTGTCCTCCAATCTGTCTCCAATCCCTGCTTCCATGCGACCTCCAATCTATGTGTCCTCCAATCTGTCCCCGATCCATGCTTCCATGCGACCTCCAATCCATGTGTCCTCCAATCTGTCTCCGATCTTTGCTTCCATGCGACCTCCAATCTATGTGTCCTCCAATCTGTCCCCGATCCATGCTTCTATGTGACCTCCAATCCATGTGTCCTCCAATCTGTCCCCGATCCATGCTTCTATGTGACCTCCAATCCATGTGTCCTCCAATCTGTCTCCGATCTTTGCTTCCATGCGACCTCCAATCTATGTCCTCCAATCTGTCTCCGATCCATGCTTCTATGTGACCTCCAATCCATGTGTCCTCCAATCTGTCTCCAATCCCTGCTTCCATGCGACCTCCCATCCATGTGTCCTCCAATCTGTCTCCGATCCATGCTTCCATGCGACCTCCAATCCATGTGTCCTCCAATCTGTCTCCGATCCATGCTTCCATGCGACCTCCAATCTATGTGTCCTCCAATCTGTCCCCGATCCATGCTTCTATGTGACCTCCAATCCATGTGTCCTCCAATCTGTCTCCGATCTTTGCTTCCATGCGACCTCCAATCTATGTGTCCTCCAATCTGTCCCCGATCCATGCTTCTATGCGACCTCCAATCCATGTGTCCTCCAATCTGTCTCCGATCTTTGCTTCCATGCGACCTCCAATCTATGTGTCCTCCAATCTGTCTCCGATCCATGCTTCTATGTGACCTCCAATCCATGTGTCCTCCAATCTGTCTCCGATCCCTGCTTCCATGCGACCTCCAATCTATGTGTCCTCCAATCTGTCTCCGATCTTTGCTTCCATGCGACCTCCAATCCATGTGTCCTCCAATCTGTCTCCACGTCTTTTCTTCTAATGTCTCCACGTGTCTCCTTCCTACGTCTCTGCGTGTCTCCTCCCAATGTCTCCACGTCTTTTCTTCCAATGTATCCACGTGTCTCCTTCCTACGTCTCTGCGTGTCTCCTCCCAATGTCTCCACGTGTCTCCTTCCATTTTCTTCACGTGTATCCATCCCATGTCTGCCAGTGTCTCATTCCAATGTCTCCACGTGTCTTCTTCTAATGTCTCCATGTTTATCCTTCCTATGTCTCCATATGTCTTCTTTTGGTGTTTCCTCGTGTCTCACTCCCTCCAATGTGTCTGCGTGTCTCCTTCCAATGTCTCCATTTGTCTCCTTCCAATGTCTCCTTTCACTGTCTTCTTATGTCCCCTCATATATCCTTCCAAAGTTTCTGCGTGTCTTCTTCCACGGGTCTCCTTCTAATGTCTCCCCGTAACTCCTTCAAATGTTTCCCCTTCGAGATTTACCATGGAATGATGTTCAATGCTCTGTTACCACTCACCACGTTTCACTAATATTTCCACTAGTTACCACTAGTATTGTTACCGCAATATCTCCTAATACCTCCATGCGTTTCCATATGTCTCCTTCCAATATGTCTGCGTGTCTTCTTCCAATGTCTCCTTTCAATGTCTTCCAATGTCTACCCATATCTCCTTCCAAAGTACATGTGTGTCTTCTTCCACGGGTCTCCTTCTAATGTCTCCTCGTATCTCCTTCAAATGTTTCTCCTTCGAGATTTACCCTGGAATAATGTTCAATGCTCTGTTACCACTCACCATGTTCCAATATTATTTCCACTATATACCACTAGAATTGCCACCGCAATATCTCCAAATGGATTTATGTGTATCCTTCCAATATCAGCACTCATCACGTTCCAACAGCACTTCCATAATTACCGCTAGTATCGCCACCGCAATATCTCCTAGTGCATCGATGTGTCTCTTTCTAATACCACCTCTCACCCGTCACCAATCACCATGCTCCAATAGTATTTCCACTATTTCTTACCTCTCACCATGGTCCAAT